AGGCCCGATTATAATTTGCGTTTTATTTTATAATTCCGTACAGTTAAAAAATAAAACACTAATTATAATGGCATATATGTAAAACTTTGTCCTATAATTGTATATCTGCTTTTTCTGCTTTTTATGTTGCTCTGTTCTGAATACCTTAAAATTTAAAGGATTTGCTGCAACGCAATTTTGTATGATATGTTAATTATTTATATTTTTTATCCATGCACCAAATGCTTTAAAAAACAGCTTTAAAATTACTTTATTGCATTCCAGACGCTTTTAAAGTACTTTTCACAATACATTTTACGGGTAGCTTGAATGTAAACATTGTAATGAATTCGTTGTATTCCCATTAGTAAAATAGCCAACAAATGAATTGTTGTAGGCTAACCCGATCTCATGAAAGTGCATAGGCCTATAGCACGATTTTCTGCTTCTATTTGGTGTAGTCTAATATTGCTATGCAGAAATTAACTTTGGCATGCAAAAGACTGAAAAATTAATGGCATGGCTGGTTCACTCGACATATGGGACACACAGGCCTATAATAACTGCTGAAATGTTTGCGGGGCAAATCTGAGGTCAGTCTGAGCGCTCATGGTACGCACAGTGTGTACAGCTGTACACCTGCAGGTGCCACTGACTCTAAACATGTAATCAGCAACTGTTCGCTTGTCAGCGCTTAATGCGCATCTCCTATATGAAAAGCATTTTAGGGGGCCCTTGGCTTTTGGGGGCCCAAGGCGGTCGCCTACCTTTGCCTAATGGGTAAGTCCGCCCCTGCACACACACACACACACACACACACTATGGTGAATGCAAGCCAGAATATAAACACCTGATCTTGTCTCCTGCAGTAAGAGAACTGATACGTTCATTTGACAGTGATAAACTAAGGCACTGAAACTAAATGTACATAAAGCCAGAGACAGAAGAGTTGCTGTGGCAAAGCAATAAAGCACCGAGAACAGATTTCCAGGGTTGCATATGACCAAAATACAAGCATAAAAGTGACACGCTAGAGCATAAGGCTAAAAATTAGAAAGTCATACCAGCATCAAATGGTTTTGAAAATTTAGAGGATGTGAGAAAAAAAAAGAAAATCACTTTTGAATGTACAAATATATCCTTGTGCCCGCAGACAACAAACTGAAGCAATTCTATTATAACTGAGCATACATTCAGTATTAGGATTTTATTCAATATTTTTTATTTTATTTTATTCAACATTTTGCTGTGGTATAACGTCAATTTTTGAAAGGTTTTAGGGGGTTAGAGGTGGAACTTCCACAGTACTACTGAGGTTAGTATGGTCTTATGATTCTCCAGATTTAATACATGAATCACATCCGGACATTACATTCTCATCATGCACAAGGGCAGCAAGAAAAATTCATTGGAGAAGATGCATTTTAGACCCTTATTCTGAGTGGTTTTGTTCTACATTGCACATTTATGCACTTTCGTTTGCCTACATAAATATTGTTTATTTGTATACTTTGTGAACTTCAAAGCAATGAAAGTTAAGCATTAAAAAAAGTATCTCACCATTACAAATGTACAAATGTTAAACATTCAACTGGAGTCTCTGACAGTCAGGTTTCTTTTCATCTCGACTTTAAATGATGTAAGTATTAAAGTCTGCACCTTGTTTGAAACCCTAAAAACGCTTTGTTTTAATAACTGAGATCGAACAGAGTTCATTTATTTCTTCCTCAATACAGTCTCAATCGTGTAAATCTGGCTGTTCTGAGCACACAGTTATGTGCTTCCAAAATCTTCATGCACACATTCACAAGTTCAGATTCATGCCAGAAATTCAAAGCTTCTTTATGAGAGTGTGGCGGAGGTATGGACACATTCACGGTTACAGAGACAAGACGGTCACTGTTTGAAATGTTCAAATTGTTGTAGGCTAACCCGATCTCATGAAAGTGCATAGGCCTATAGCACGATTTTCTGCTTCTATTTGGTGTAGCCTAATATTGCTATGCAGAAATTGACTTTGGCATGCAAAAGACAAAAGACTGAAAAATTAATGGCATGGCTGGTTCACTCGACATATGGGACACACAGGCCTATAATAACTGCTGAAATGTTTGCGGGGCAAATCTGAGGTCAGTCTGAGCGCTCATGGTACGCACAGTGTGTACAGCTGTACACCTGCAGGTGCCACTGACTCTAAACAAGTAATCAGCAACTGTTCGCTTGTCAGCGCTTAATGCGCATCTCCTATATGAAAAGCATTTTAGGGGGCCCTTGGCTTTTGGGGGCCCAAGGCGGTCGCCTACCTTTGCCTAATGGGTAAGTCCGCCCCTGCACACACACACACACACACACACACTATGGTGAATGCAAGCCAGAATATAAACACCTGATCTTGTCTCCTGCAGTAAGAGAACTGATACGTTCATTTGACAGTGATAAACTAAGGCACTGAAACTAAATGTACATAAAGCCAGAGACAGAAGAGTTGCTGTGGCAAAGCAATAAAGCACCGAGAACAGATTTCCAGGGTTGCATATGACCAAAATACAAAAAGCATAAAAGTGACACACTAGAGCATAAGGCTAAAAATCAGAAAGTCATACCAGCATCAAAAGGTTTAGAAACTTTAGATAAAGAAGACATAATGAAGAGAAAATAAACGCAGCCACAAACAGCACTGTAAAATACTGCAGTGGCCAGTAATTTCAGTATGAGAAGAAAAGTCACTCAAAGTATGTCTGGCTCGACATAAAGTGAAGTGCAACTCATTCATTCAGCCATGTCCTTTTGAACGTACATCCTTGAGCCCAAAACAACAATAGGAGTGATTCTATTATAACTGAATATACATTCAGTATTTTGTTGTGGTATAACGTCAGTTCTAAGGGGTTAGAGATGGAATTTTCACTAATCTTCTGAGGTTAGTATGGTTTTCTGATTCTCCAGATTTAATACATCAATCACTACATCCGGTCATTACATTCTTATAAAGCGTATGGGCAGCAAGAAGAATTCATTGGAGATTATGCATTTTAGACTCTTATTCTGAGTGGTTTTGTTTAACATTGCACATTTACTTTACATTTGTTTGTCTACATAAATATCTTTTATTTGTATACTTCGTGAACTTCGAAGCAATGAAAGCATAAAAAAAATGTATCTCACCATTACAAATGTACAGATGTTAAACATTCAACTGGAGTCTCTAACAATCAGGTTTCTTTGCTTCTTGACTTTAAATGATGTAAGCATTAAAGTCTGCACCTTGTTTGAAACCCAGTAAATGCTTTATTTTAATGACTGAGATCGAACAGAGTTCACTTATTTCTTCCTCAACACTCCAATCCCAAAAGTGTAATCCTGGCTGTTCTTCATGCACACATTCACAAGTTCAGATTCATGCCAGAAATTCAAAGCTTCTTCATGAGGGTGTGGAGGAGGCATGAACACATTCACGGTTAAAGAGACAAGACGGTCGCTGTTTGAAATGTTCAAGAGTTTAAATATTTAAAAACTCACAATCCAGTCAACTGAATCAATAACCCTTCATCAGTTCAGTATTTGTCGTATGGACTGCACTATAGAGAAATTCATCTGTGTCCTGAAGGCAAAAATCAAACGGTGGATAATTTGATCAAAGGGAAGCCAGCATTTCTGTTTAGTCCTCATCCTCTCGGAGTTCACTTGGCAGGAACTTGTACTGCTGTTGTCTGATCTGTGCCAGCTTCTTACGGGCCTCTTCCAGTTCCCTCTCCTTCCTCAACATCTCCTCCTGAGCAGCAATAATCTGGGCCAAACAGACAAAGCACAACACAAAAAAATATGAACTGAATAAAGCCAATATGGGAGAGTATAACCTTAAAATACAAAATGTTATTATAATTATTAGTCCCAGTCAAAACAATAATAATTAATTAATAAAAAAATGTATGGGCAGTCAGAAAGATCAAATTATGAATATGCATTCAAAATATAGTTTTTATTATTTGATTATTATTATTTTTGTTATATAGCACACATTTTGTTGTCTACATAAATTAAATTACATTTATTTATTATCCATCTATCTATTGATCTGTTGATAATGATAATAATAAGAAACAATAATATAAAAAAATAATAAGTATTATTATTGCTATTATTATTATTATTATATCATATAAGCAGCAATAAAAATGACCTGAAGATGCATTTTAGACTTATTCTGAGTATTTTTGTATTACACTGCATATTTACGCAGAGTTCATTGTCTATATAAATGTGTCATAAGTAGCAAGGGTATATTTGTAGCAATAGCTAAAAATACATTGTTATGGGTCAAAATTATCTATTTTTCTTTTAGGATATTAAGTTCCATGAAGATATTTAGTAAATTTCCTACCGTAAATACATTAAAATAAATTTTTGATTAGTAATATGCATAGCTAAGAAATTAATTTGGACAGCTTTAAAAGCAATTTTATCATTATTTGGATTTTTTTGCACCCTCAGATTCCAGATTTTCAAATAGTTGTATCTTGACCAAATAGTGTCCTATCATAACAAACCAGACATCAATGGAAAGCTTATTTATTCAGCTTTGATCAGATCATATATAAATCTCAATATCGAAAAATTGACTGGTTTTGTGGTCCAGGGTCACAAATATATTTATTACTATTAACAACAACAACAAAAAAATAAAATAATTATTTAAATAATAATATTATTTTAATAACCAATACAATTATTTATTATTATTAACTAATTATTATTGAATTAACCATAGACAGAATTCAGCCTGTAATCTTACCTGAGCAATTCCTCCAACAAACCTGGTCTTGACCACCACATTATGATTGTCTGCCTTGTTGAAAGCAGCTTTCTGGGCCGCTCGAACCAGACTGTCAGAGGCGCGTTTCACAGCATTGCCTGCAGCCTGCAGATAACACATAAGAAGTTCAAGAAATGTGCCTATGAAATTCATGTTCAATGAAGGCAGTAATGTAAGCCTAGGTTTATATGTGAACATGTACAGTGCAGTTACCATTTAAAATATCAGAATGGATTTAGTATTTTCTTTATGTAACCGTATATACCTGTAGCCTCCTCATAGCCTCTGAATCCTGCTCAGCTTTAACCTTGCACGCCACCAGCAGCTGTGCAGTGGAAGCAGCCACTTGTTTGGCAGAAGAGATGAGCTTTTCTTCACTGGCATGACCTTGGACCGATGCATTCGCTGCCTCACAGAGGTTACTGGTGGCTGCAGCAACCATGCGTGCCTGTAACGGCATGAAGAAACAGAGAAGTCATAAAGGAATATAGCATGATGGCATTTTATCTGCACTTTTGAATCCTTAAGGACTTACAGCAGATATTAGCCCTTGGGACCACTGTCCATCATCCAAAGCATTAGCAGGGATGGCTCCCACCTTCAGAAAAAAAA